TGTTGGTTTGTAGCCTGTTTGAGCCTTTTCCTAAAAAGCCTAAGCCTTTTTTTCCTGCAGAGGAAGTGTTTTGAGTGTGACAAAGCAGGTAGCTGAGAACAACTGTCTGGTGCTGGCGGACCAGGCTGCAGAGTTCACATCCTCCAAAAAAGAGAAAAAGCAAACCACTCCCCAGACCGTTCCTCCTTCCTCTGCCATGCCAACCTCCTGCTCGGCTGCAGGGTGCTGGTGCCCTACCTTGTGCGTTCTTCCCCAGGCCCCTTCCAGGGACGTAGCCCATCTTCTGAAGAAGCTTCTGTCCAATGCCTTTTGTGTGTCTTTCCCAGCTGCCAAAATCCATGAAAGACTTGGTTCCTCCTGCAAAGCCTTTCTGGCTGGGTTTAAAATTGCCACCCTGAGCAGAAAAAAACCCAAAGCTTAGCTGATGGAAAAAGAAAAACCTAAGAAAGCAAACTTGGATGATGGGAAAAAGACCTGGCAGAGCATCATGAAAAGGGTCATACGAACCAAAAGCAGAGCTGCACCACGTGTCAGCAAAGAGGCTGCACGGCCCCCCAGAAGGGACCCACTACCATGAGGAGAAACCCACAAAACCAGCTTCTACCAAGCGCCCCCCTCTTCCTGTAGGAGATGCCTGAACTGCCACGACCTCCCACAGACATTTCAAAGGTCACAAGCCTGAGCCAAAGATGCTACCGTCTTTAACTTCTTGGGTCCAAAGTCCTTAGGAAAGTCATCCTGTTTAACAGGCTTCTCTTCATCTTCCGAATCTTCCAGCTCGGCCTCCTCTGCTGCCCCTTTCTTGAGACCGGCGCTGATGAAGTTGACTGGTGCAGAGTAGTCGCGGGCCCTGTGGGCAAACACACAGCCCCCAGGGGGCCTTAAGGAAGCCTTCTGCAGCGATCCCTTGTGGACACTCTGCCAGCTTGAGATCCCCCAGAGGGGAACTCCAGGGATCCATTTTACAAGAGTAACCTATTCACTTAGACCAAAAGCGCCTCAGCTCTGACTTCCTGTGATCACGGTAACATCGTTACCTGTCAGTGCATGATTGATTAAAACAGCAATATATGATCTTATACACTGTATTGATTTTGTCTCAACAAAAGTGAAGGGACACAATGCAAACTATGATGTGATAACGCAACTCTTTTACATGTTTTAAAATTAACTTTAAAATCATTTGTTTTGGACCCCGTATTTCAAGTACAGAAATCAAGCAAGAAAAAACTTCGGATAGATAAACATCATCAAACACAATAAAAGAAACTGTATGAATGCAAAGTATATTAACAATTTTATTGGTCACACTCTTAGAAAAGTTTCACCTTCATTACCTTTACTTGTGTATGAAAACTAAAGTAAAATACCTAAGAAATTAACTCTGAGATAGAGAGTATCAATGTTGACAACTGTCACAAGAACAGTCCTTACAATGTCCTATTTCCTGGTTACCTTTATAAAATGACCAATTTGTCACTAACCATCCCCATGGCAGTAGCATTTTTTCCTAAACAATGCAATGTAACTTAGGCTGTAGGGACCCAGACTCAGGAGTCAGGCCCAGTTTCTTACAGCCTGGCTATGTGCTTTTGGCCTCAGTTTTTTAATCTGAAAAAAAGGAATGATAATGCTACTTTTCTCACAAGGTGAAGGATACCAAGCATGTAAAGAGTGCAGAACAAGGTACTATCTTATGGTTATAGACAATGTTAATTCCTGACCTCTGATCTATTTATCACCCACTTTTAGGTTTCCTTGCCAGATGAGGACTTGATCTGACCTCCATACTCTTTCTCCCCAGCCTCCTTTGTGAAAAACGCACAGTGTCAATGGGCTAGAGTCTACAAACCACAGACGAAACACAGAAACAAAACCAAACTCGCTACACGCTCTGGTCAAGTGAGCTGTGGCCACTGCACACATGACCTCTCACACTGGGGAAGACGACTACTGGCCTGAATCCTCCTCTCCTGCAGAGTCCGTCCCTGTCTCATGGAGTTTCCTCTTCCCCTGCAGCTCCCTGTCAACTCTGCACACTGACAGGTCTTCTCCAAAGGTAAGTGCAGCCCACATCATCCGCTCTACCACAGACCTCTTCTCAAACTATGCCCCCTCTCCCTCCCTCACCGCAGCCTGCAAAGCTTTCTGTACCCCTATGGACACCCACCGCCTCCCCTCAGGAGCCTCTGCATACTCGTGCCTCTCCTACCACCCTCATTACCTTCTGCTGTAATATAAACTCAAAAGTCACTTCTCTAGAGAAATCTTCCCTCACCTCCCAGAATAGGCCAAACTCTCTCCCTCAGGTCCTAAATCAGTTATAAACTTCCACCGTATGAGCTGTCAATTAATGTGTCTCCATGCTCTAGCGCCTGGGCTCCCAGAAGGCAAGGAATGGGTCTGCAGTATACGACCTGGTACATATAACTGCTCGTTAAACACGAAGTGATGGTTAAATCAGCAAAAGAGCAGCACTCCGGCCAAAGAGGAAGCTGGGCCTCCCTAGCTTATGTCGTAGCTACAGGACTCAGGCCAGGAGAAAGGTATATTTAGTGGGGTATCTTCCCACCACCCCCCATATTCCCTAAAGCGAGGAGGAAGCAGTCTCATGCTGGCCAGTACCGTTTGCCTCCAAAGCTGGGCCTCTCTTCATCTGAATCTCTCTCTGCCCACACTCCATAGGTGGCCTCTTCCTTGGTCTGCCAGTGGCGCTGCCGGTTGGGGTTAAATTCATTCTGGAGATCCCAGTCGGTGATCTCAAAGTTCTCCCGCTCATCGTCATCATCATCCATGTGGCCTTCCCCATCCCGGTACAAGTGGGACAGTGACATGGCAGGTCACTAAAGAAAGGGATAAAAAAGGCACGTGGTTTGTGGTAAGTCCTGAGGGGAGAGCAGCAGTAGGCTTCCGTCCCTGCTCCTCACTCCCTTCAAACTTCCTCACACTCAAAGTCCCAATGATTAAAAATCATTGTTACAGTTCAATAAGGCAGACATTAAAAACATATTTCAGAAAACACACATTATTTAAACAGGTGGGACAAAAGACTGGTCCCAACAATATGCGATTCCCTGTCCTGGTCAAGGTCATAAAACTTTACACACACTCACACCTATATAACCCACAAAAAAATAACTCGGTATGTTATTGTACTTATTACTGCCTCAGAAACGGGGTGGGCATCTTCCTGGAACCCTTTTTTTTTTTTTTTTTTATACCGTGATGACACTTTGTTTTCTTTCGTAGTGAACTGGCATGATACAGTTTAGAATAGAGAGCTGGTCTGCAGTATCTTCCAGAACCGCAGGGATCCTCAGCACAACTAGAATGGAGAGTGGCTCTATGATGTCTGGGAGGACTTCTTTTTCTGGTTCTTCAGCTGTTTCTTTTTCTTCTTCTACAGCACTGAGTGGCTCGCCTGTCACGGACACTGTCACCTCAGAATGCCAGATGTTTGCTGGAAGATTTGTGGCTTCTAACTGGCCTTCTTCCATTCTTCTTAAATCAGTTGTAACTTCAATGGTACTTTTACAATCTCACAAAAAATGTAGTTACTCTGGAGTCAAAACGAAGGATCAACAACAACTAAATATGAGGAAAGAGTTACTATATCTGGACCCTTGGCGGTTCACCACCAGGAGTGATGGTTTTTAGAACATGCTTCCTGAAGTATATTACTTGGTGAGACCCTAAGACTTAAAAGTTTTCCTCCCAAAACATGAACTTCTTCTGAAGGCATAAACACTACCTTAATAGAGATTTTCAGCTCCTGGTAGCTGAGTGATGAGATTCAGCTGTCATGTCCTTAAGTGGGTTGACTCTACCCCCACCCTCTGAGAATGCCTGTGAGCCAGATTAAATGAGGTGGTGCTTAAAAGACGCTTAGCTCAGGGGTGCTTGGGTGGGTCAGCCGGATAAGCATCTGCCTTAAGCTCAGGGCAAGACCTCCGGGTCCTTGCTCGGCGGGGACTCTGCTTCTTCCTCTCCAGCTCTTCACGTTCTCTCTCAAATAAATAAGTATTTCTTAAAATAATTTAAAATACTAAGCTCAGGTATCCCTGGGTGGCGCAGCGGTTTGGTTTGGATCCTGGCTCGTGTTTGCCTTCGGCCCAGGACATGATCCTGGAGACCCCGGATCGAATCCCACGTCGGGCTCCCAGTGCATGGAGCCTGCTTCTCCCTCTGCCTGTGTCTCTGCCTCTCTCTCTCTCTCTCTCTCTATCATAAATAAATAAAAATTCGAAAAAAAAATCGCTTAAAAAAAATAAAACAAAATACTAAGCTCAGAATAAAAATGCTCCGGGAGCAAGGGCTGTTACCGCAGCCCCAGATCAGGTTCACCACCGTCACTATCACTAGGTTGGGGAGGGGACCTAAGGGAGGACTGCTGAAATCCCAGCCTGAGCTGAACCCCAGCTCCAGCGGGGCCGCGGTGGGCGTCGGGGCGTCAGCCACACCCGCGGGCGGCAAGCAGCCTTCGCGGGGGCCGGCGCGTCCGGGCGCCTGTCACCAGGCCCCCCCTGCTCACTGCACTCCCGCCACGCTGGCGGGGCGCACAGAAGGGAAGCGCTCCCCGAGCACTCGGGGGTCCGCAGGACCTCGGCCTCCCCGGGCCCCCGAAGAGCCCGCGCGGGGCGGACGGGCCAGGGGCAGCACCAGTCGCTTCTCGGGGGTCGGCACCTACCGCTGGTGTCCCACGCTGCTCGGGGCGCCCGGACTCCCGGGCCTCGGGTCCACGCCGACGGCGCTCGAAAGCCGGCTTGGAGCAGGCTGCGCGGAGGGGCTGCGTCCCCCGCACTCACGCCCGCCGGCGGGGACGCCCCGCCGCTGCCCGCACCCCCGCCCCGCTCACCTCCCCACGTCCCGCGGTCCCAACACAGCTACCGGCCGGAGGACAGGAGCCCGGATGTGCCCGAGGCGGCGCCCCGGAAATGACGTACGAGGGGCGGGCGCGGGGCGCTTTCGTCACGGCTGCGACCGGCGAGCGCGTCCCGGGCTCCGACGGGGCGGGGCCGAGTGCGAGGGAGGAGGCGGGGCTTCCAGGGCCTCCAATGGCTGCGGGCGCGCTGCCCGACCTCCCCGACCTCCCCGACCTCCCCGACCTCCCCGACCTCCGTGCCGCGCCCGGCAGGTGCCGACGGCGCCGAGCGCCCCGGCCCGCGGGGACCCCGCTGCCAGTCTGAGACTCGAAATGCGTAAAAGGGGCTAGAGGACTGGCGCACGGGGCAGCGGTGAGGGCTAGCGGGCGGCCGCGGGGCGCGGGGCGCGGGGCGCGGGGCCTGGCTGCAGGCGGGAGCAAGGTCTCGGGAGCCGTCGGGGCCCTTGGCCGAGCACCGCGGTGGGCGCGGAGCTTGAGAGCGCAGGGATGGGCGGACCAGGGCCCCCCGCGCTCCCTCCGGGAACCCCGCCCCCCCCCCCCCCCCCGCCGGTGGTCAAGACCTTCATTCCTTCACCGATTCATAGAACCGTGCGGAGCCCCGCGGGCCGAGGCTCACGGGCTTCGGGCCGCCCAGGGAGTGCCGGCTGCCTCTGCACCCCGCAAGCGCGCGGGCCCCGGGCCCCCCAAGTCCCTGCGCCTCTGGAAGCCTCGCTTTCCTCTTCTGCAAAATGGTTGAGGATCCGGGGAGATGAAATGTGCAAGCATAGGGGTGCCCAGGCGTGTCAGCTCTTAGTCTTCGCTCACGTTCTCTTTCTCTCTCCTTCCTACGATGAAAAGGTGCAAGCGGCAATCGTTAAGAATACACGGAGCGCACCGACTCCTAGTCAAAGATCTGGATCCAGCTTCCCGCCGTTAGTAATGAAACCAGAACCCACAGGAAGGCAACCGACCGCCAGCTTCTTGAAACCCGCGCTGCGACTCCCGTGGTCTCTGCGTCCCCACTGACGTGTCACCGGCCCGACACACACTATGTAGTCAGGAAAGAACTGAGAAAGTGAGGTTTCATAGAAGAGACGGCAGGAGGGGAAGAGAGTCTACCAGACGAGAAGCTCCACCAGGGAGCAGAGGGAGGAAAAACAAGGAGACCAGATAGACCGTGTTGAGTCTGGGCCTGGAAATGTATAGGCATCTGTTTACAGGCCGAGCCAAAGATAGAAGCTCGCTTGGCTTCTCTGTAGCTCTCTCTCCAGCTCTACAGCTGACTTCATGGAGCAGCAGTTACTCAGATCACAAGGGGCTGGTGCTAGTGGGTCTGCTTCACCAGATGGACCCTCCACGTGGCTTCTGGAGAAGGGGCCTTTGTGGACGGTGGGGTCACTAGGAGTACAGGCTCTGAGCGCACGATCAGACTGTGCATCCCCAACAACGGGGCAAGTGGACCTCACGTACTGCGCGATAGGATGTCCTGAGAAGGTCGTAGCACCACCCTCGTGATATTCCCGTCAAAGATGCATACCTGGGACAGAATCACAAGGATACTGGAGACAAGCCCAAATAAAGACATGTTCTGCCAAACAGCTGGCCTGTGATCTTCAAGAGTGCCCAAGGCATGTAAGTCAAAGAGAGACCCTGGAAGTGCTCCAGACTGAAGAAGGCGAAGGAGACATGACCGGTAAATGCAGCACCTGATTCTGAATTGGACCTTTTTTGCTGTAAACGAAGTTATGGGGATAACTGGCAAAATTTAAATGAGGTCTGAAGTTCCATGGTAGTGATGTGTCCGTGTTCATTTTCTGATTCTGATGGCCGTCCTGTGGTTACGCTGGAAAATGTCTTTGCTGGAAATACTAAAGTATTTAGGGGAGTGATAGGGCACCCAGTAGGCAACTTAGTCTCAAGTTATTAAGGGGGAAAAAAAGGTTCTCTTTGTACCTAGAAATGTTTTTTAAGATTTATTTATTTATTTGAATGAGTGAGCATAAATGGGGGGGGGGGGAAGGGGAGAGGGCAAAGGGAGAAGAAGCAGACTCTCCACTGAGCATGAAGCCTGACACATGGCTCAATCCCAGGACCCTGAGATCATGACCTGAGCCTACATTAGATGCTTAACTGACTGAGCCACCCTGGAGCCCCTAGAATATTTTTTTTAAATGAAGTTACTAGAGTAAGACCTCAGAGATCCGAATCACTTTGCTCCTTCCTTGATGTGGGATGGGGGAAGGTAGCTTCACCTCACTGCACCTCAGTTTCCCCAACTACAAAATGGGGATAATGACAGCAGTGCTCTAAAAGGAGTGTTTCAGGCCACAAGACAAGACAGGCAGCTAATACATACATTAAAGCTGCTGGTCATAGCAAGACCAGTAAGACCTTAGTAAATGCTTAAGGCTGTTTTCATTTGAAAGACCCAACCTCACTCCCCTACACGGATGGCCTCAAAGTTCACTGGTTTCTCAGGATTTCTGGGTTCAAATGCCCAGTCTCCAGAAAAGCAAGGGGAGAGGCAACCAGAGGTTTAGATTCCTGATTTCATGCCCGCACATCATGATCTCCTACCACTGCCCAGAGAAGCGCTGGCTTTGGGCCTTGGGGACACCAGGCCCGTGTCTAGATTCCCAATGTGGTGCTCAGACATGGAGATAACCCAGAAGGGGTTGCCAGGCAACAGGGCTCCTCAGCAGGAGCCCGACAGGGCCCCCGACACTCGCCAGATGAAGCAGTGGAGAAGACTGAGCCACGAGGGGTGTTCACAGGCTACACAGCGAGTTTAAGGACAGAGCCAGGCCTGAATGCAGGACCTCAGACTTCCAGGTGGGTGCCTTCTCTGCTGCACCATGCCAGGCACCCCCACTGTTTATGCCAACTTACCTGAGCTAAGATGTACATTGTGATGCCTGTCTGTTCGGGCTCCCGAAGCCAAACCCTCTGCATACACCAGCTCTTGGATTCCATAAACCTCCCCATAGTTTCTGCTACCTGAGTCCACCGTCCTATCACCCCCTCACACGGCCTATGCCATCCGTACGGCACTGTTTCCATATCACCTTTGAAAGATTTGGGGGGGACAAAATCCTTCCTTAGTTACAACTTTAAATAGGTTGGTACCATAGAAACAATCTGCAAGTGGCATTTCAAGGCTGATATATTTAAAGTCTAGCACAAGTACCTTTTCTAGGACGGTGACATTACACAGTTGCACAAGGCTTATTCTTAGTTCAAATTTTGTCACAAAAATATAGAGCGTGTCCTGAACTGTTAAAGAGTTGGAAATCCAGATGAGCTGAGATTCGCAAATCTGGTTTCCCTTAAAATGTTCCATACAGATGGTCGATACCTTACTTATCTTTCATGAATTTGTGAAGACTATTCTGATAGCGAAGCTGGCAGGATCCACAGACCTGGGTGTCGTCTGTGGGGCGAGCACCCTCACAAGCAGGCAGGGAAGGGGAGGAACCACAGCCTTCCTCACTCATTCATTCACTGGCTCATTCACTCATTCACAAATATCTCAGGAGCTCCTAGGTATTACCTATTGCACAGTAACAAGGACCTTCAAACTTCGAAGCCTGGGGCAACAGTGAGAATTATCTCACACAATTTCCATGATCAGGAATTCAAGAGTAGTTTGGCTGCCGACTCAGGTGCTGGTATCGACTCGGGATCTCTCCTGGGGTTGCAGTCAAGATGTCAACTGGGACTGCACATACCTGCAGGCTTGACCCAGGCTGGCTGATCTGATTCCAAAGTGATTCACTCACATGGCTGGTGGGCTGGTGTCGGCTGTTTGTTGGTAGGAGGCCTCGGGAACCTGCCATGTGAACCTCTACCTACGGCTACTGAGTGTCCTCATGGCATATGACTGGATTCCCCCACAATGAGTGACTAAGAAGCAAGGCAGGGGAGCCGGGGTGGCTCAGTTGGCTAAGCATCTGACTCTTGGTTTCAGCTCAGGTCATGGTCTCAGGGTCCTGAGATGGAGGCCCATGTCGGGCACCTTTCCCAGCAGGAAGTCTGCTTAAGATTCTCCTCTCTCTCCCTCCCTCCCTCTCTCTCTCTCCCCTCGCTCTGCCCCTACCCCGCTCACACCCTCTCTAAAAAAAAAAAAAAAAAAAAAGAAGTGAGAGAGAAACAGGGTTGAGGCCACATCACTGGAAGTCACACACTGCCATTTCCCTAATAGCCTATCAGTGACATGTTCAGCCCTATTGAGAGTTGCCAGGTTTAGCAAGCAAAAAATACAGGATTCCCGGGTACAATGTGAATTTCACATAACAAGTTTTTATTTTTTAAGATTTTACTTATTTATTCATGAAAGACACCCACAAAGAGAGGCAGAGACACAGGCAGAGGGAGAAGCAGGATCCATGCAGGGAGCCTGATGTGGCTTCCTGAGCCAAAGCCAGACAGACATTCAACTGCTAAGCCACTCAGGTGTCGCTCACGTAACAAGTTTTTAGTGTATGTCCCATGAAATATAAAACACTTAAAAATTATTGTTTTACCTGAAACTCAAATTTAACCATGAGTCCTATATTAATCTGAAACCCTATCCCCATTCAGTGGTAAGGGACGGCATCACCTGGGCAGCTTGGCAGCTAGGCTTTCCCTGCCCACGATGGGTTAGGCCTGGCTGGGGTGGGGGGCAGGTTGGTAAGTGGGGACAAAGGAAGAGTAACTGTTCTCGACTCAGTGTACAGTCCAGTAAGACCAACCTGAATCCCAGCACCAGGCAAATCAATGCAAAACCTTGACCATGATAAGTGCTTCAAAGGGAAGTACCGGAGCTTGGGATGGGGACGGTGTTCTCATCAGAAGCACCATTTCTAGGTTTCTTAGATTAAGCTTTTGCGAGTGATTGTGTGTGCATGTGCGTGTGGGGGGAGCACATGGAAGGGTCTGCCACTGAAGGGGACAGAATTCTGAACACACACACACACACCCCTATGCACAAAACGGTGAACATGGAACAGGGCCTGTGGTCTGTAGGCTAGTTAATAGTGTGTCACTGTCAATTTCCTGTTTTGATGTTACACTGCAGTTGGTACCTGTCAGTGTTGGGGAAAGCTGCGTGAAGGATCCGCAAGACCCTGTGTAGTACCTTTGCAACTTCATAGGAGGCTATCATTATTTCAAAATAAAAAGGCACTCGGCCCCTTGAAAACACCAGCTGTTTCCATGGAAACGAGGTCAGATCAGAATCATCCACACTTGTGGACAGACGTGGGCGCTTGGTCAGGAGCCAGCCCTGGTGGGTGGAGTGAGGGCTTTCACCCAAGGGAATGGGATTCTTGGTTAATTGTCCTGAGAAGTGTTCCTTTAGAAGAGAGAACGAGGACGGGGTAAGAGATGTCTTCCTGGGTCTCGGCCCAGATTTGGGGCTTGAGAGGGTCTAGGGTAGTTCCATCAGTGGGAAGAACCCTCCCTGCTCCCAAGGCAGGGGCTGGGGAAACCAAAAAGCCTGGATTTCTTGATGACACAGCCCTCTGCGCGTCTGGAATCACTGTGATTTAAACAGTAAAGATCTGTCTTCAGTCTGCAGCCTATTGAAGGGAACATCACAATTTCCCAGAAAGAATCTCATAATCTGCTAAGTTCATACATTATTTGAAGACCCTGCAGGGGAGGCTGATAAGCTGGTTTTGATGAGGACCGTGGCCAGCTGTGTTTTCCAAAGATGGCCACAACTGCATCTCTCACCCACATGCACTTCCGCAATGTGACCCTGCCACTCCGCCATCAAGAAGAGGAATTTCTCTATTCCTTTGAATGCCAGGGGGCAGGGGGGCTAGGACCATGACAAACTGAGTGGAAGTGATATTGGGCCACGCATATCCCTTAACTGACTGGCTGTTCTGCTCCTTCTGGCCTCTGGTAACACTTGCTCTGGGGGAAGCCAGTCACCATATAAGACGTCCGGCCGCCCTAAGACCGCCATGTTGTCAGGAAGCCCAGGCTAGCCACGTGGACAGGCTATGTGATACAGAAGCCCATAGAAGCTTCTGGACGCTCCAACCACCTGGGCCCAGGCACCAGACATGGGAATAAAGAAGAGACCGGGGGATCCCTGGGTGGCGCAGCGGTTTAGCGCCTGCCTTTGGCCCAGGGCACGATCCTGGAGACCCGGGATTGAATCCTACATCGGGCTCCCGGTGCATGGAGCCTGCTTCTCCCTCTGCCTATGTCTCTGCCTCTCTCTCTCTCTGTGTGTGTGACTATCATAAATAAATATAAAAAAAAAAATTAAAAAAGAAAAAAAAAAAAAGAGTCCGGGCGACAGGAGTCCCAACCACCATCTGACTGTGAGAACCAACCAGCTCACTCTAGCTGACTTCCCCAACGGAGAGACTTAATAGTACACTGTTGAAGGTCACCAAGTGTGGGGCCAGCTGGTTTTAGAGCAACAGATGAATGGAACACTGGATAAGGCTGGATGTGTTCTGCTCCCCGGTAAGTGGTGATCATGAGCTTCCAGTGTCTGGGGCTCCATGAACTCCCCATCTCACTTCAGTCCAAGATCAGGAGAGACAAGAACTGCCTCACATTGTGGGCTCATCACACACCAGGCCCCACTGCCTCTATCAACCATTGGCCCCTCCCATACACCCATGAAGTTTTAATTTCCCCATCTTACAAATGAAGAAATGAAGGCCCAAGCCACACAGGCAGTAAGTTGGCCTGATTCCAAAAAATCTATGCTCCAAACCACTGGGAGTCACTGCATTCCCAAAGCCCATGAGCCAAGGAGTGTGTATAAAACACCTTAACCCTTAA